GAAGCTCTCAAAAGCTTTGTGGGCATATTGTACGACAAATCATACCCCCGCCAGCTCTACTCCTTACGCTCTGACGTTTGAGTCTAAAGTAGTCATTCCCTTGAAAGTCAAACTGCCTTCAATATGGATGGTAGTATATTAGGTTGGTCTTATCATAGGAAGCAATGCCTAAAATATACATCACACATGTAACATGGAGGATCAATGCAATGATTTAAATGCTAACTATTTTCTGTAGGTGCTACTTAGCTCCTCCTACCAGGCATGACTCATATTTGTTGTTGTTTGTTGGTTTTCTCTTTAACGTTGTTTTCATGCAGGTCGAATACCTTATTTTTTTTACACCTTTTTTATGTAAATTTTAGATTTTATAAGTGAGTCTGTTTTAGAAATAAGACATGGACACGAGTTCTAAGGAGCAAGATGAGCGGAATCACGTGACGGGGACTAGGAGCTGCTAACTCGTGTTTCGTACCTTAATTCTAAATCTCATTAATGTATAGAATTAGGACCAGCTGTGTATTTATGTGGTGTCTGACTGTTTTTTTTCTTTTTTGGGATATGTTGTCATCCTAACGACACTGACCTATTATTATTGTATATTTAACTTGTTTTACTGTCTTTCTTGCATGATTATGTGTTTGAAATTAGCTGTCTTTTTTTCGCTTAGGATTTTGTGTGGGAATCATGCAAATCACTTGGGCTCTTTAAGACTTAAAATTATAAACTTTCTACAAAAGTTTAATAATAAAATTGCAGACTAATTAAAATTTAGGCTTAAAATGTTCAAGATTTTTCAAAATCTGCATTTTATTTTCTGCATGGACTTCAGGCTGAATTTTAAATTGGTTGCATGCATGGCATGACACCTAGTCATAATTAATAGGGCTTCCACGCTTAGGGATAGATAACTGCATCATTTGCATGTCCCGAGGAGAAGTCTCCATGCTTCTCCAACCCAATTGACCCAACACATATTTCTACTTAGGTGATTGTCCAGTGCACTTAGGATGTTTGTGGTTTTTCCTACCCAAACGGGGTGTAAGTCCTTTTTTGGGAGTGTTTATGCTTTGTAGTTGAACCTCTCTTTCTCTTCCTTTCTAGCAGCATCCTTGTCACTTCAGCGGGTAAAAGTCCCACCTCCTGAAACTCTATCTGATAGTCATATGATAGAGTTTTGTTTCTTTGAACTTAGGGCTACCGAGGTTCCTGCAGACAATATAATTCATGGATTTCTGACCGAGGATCTCTAGACATGTTGGGTCGACTACCTGCACGACCAAGTTGACTTAGGGTGGTCCTAGTGGCTTGGGATGACAGGTCTGTTGTACCATGACCCGACCAGCTCTACCTGTTTAGTGATTACTCATCCCTTCACTTGACTGCCCACTTTCAACATTGTCGCTCCTCTTGTTGTCATTGATATCATCTTGACAGCCTGACCCGACCAGCTCTACCTGTTTAGTGATTACTCCTCCCTTCACTTGACTGCCCACTTTCAACACTGCCGCTCCTCTTGTTGTCATTGATATCATCTTGACAGCCTGATTATCGATGAGCTGCCACCCATTGAGAATACGGTGATTTATTCATTGCCTTTATGACCTAGAAGTGCTTTGGTATGTCGAGATATCTCGTCAGGATGATCTCGTTATTTCATAGACTCCTTGTGTTAATGAGTTTGTTACCTACATGGGATCGTGAGCGACTCACTCTCCACCCAGTGACTTTGCAAAATCTTTGAAAGCATCACAGTATTCCCCTGTGAAATAACTATCCTTTGATAGTCATGTGCTAATTGTCACTCTAAATGTAAGAAAAAAATTGTTTGGATCTAGGTATTCCTGAGCAACCTGCAGGATGTAATTAACCAAGTGAGATATGTCCCCTTAGGAGTACTATGAACCCGAGAACAGACAAACACACCTGAATCTCTGGTTGTGTGTAGCTTTCATATATATTCTTTCGCGGATATTTGACACAATTTATTTCATTTCGATTTTGTTTGAGCATATATGCTTAGTCTATCCTTGTGAGGTTTGCTGCATAGAAATTCTCCACATTCTCTCTTATTTTTCCGCCTTTGTCGTATGTCTTGTTTTTTCAGTTCATCTCTTCTCCTGATCATTCATATGATTCAGAAGAGAGACTTATTCAGAAAAGGGAAGTATACGATGACAGACAAGCTGGCTCTCCTTTAAAATTAAAAAGAGAAATGAACGAAAACAAATACTCATGAGAGATTGAGCCAAGTTGAGGCATTGTAGATATTGATGCATTTAAACCTTTTTAAGTTGAGTGGTTTGAATGCAATTTGAATGAGACCTATATGGATATATTTGAAATCTTGCATATATTTATGCAAGCTATCTTCTATTAATAAATAGATTGTTTTATCAATCTAATCTATTGTGATTGACTGTTCGACAGTCTTAATAGAGTTTTTTTTACTTTAAAATCAAAGGTTCATATTATGCAGATAAGAGATTCATATCTAATTTAGGAATAGACCATTTATTTATGTCATCCTCGTTTTAAAGGGTATTCCATCATTTCAGCGTTCTTAATTAGTTGATTATGTCTCATGGAGGAGGCTCTAGTCACAATAGAATAATTCATATTTGAATTCGAAGATGAAGCCATAAAAAGACCAATAGAGGGCTCTAATGAATGAGTTATCATAATCATATTCTGCAAGACAACAAAATAATAGTATAATTTATGCAACAAGATTCAAACAATTCTATATTGAACAGTACTTGTCATTGTTATACCAAAGAAGTGAGCATTGTTTCATCTTCCTTCGAGCCAGAAGCCTTGCGTTCTCAAATTTCCAGACTATATACCACTCCAATAGAAGAATTATTCAAATAGGTCTTATCCCAAAGGTTACTGAGTTTAGTTAACATAATATAGGATTTACTGCCCTTTCACATGTAAGCGGGGCTTACACCTAAATGCGACAAAAAACTCAGGAATTCCGGAAAAAAGAGAAGCAAGTACATACAGTACAACATGATTATCGGAAGTATTCATTTAAAATAAATTACTACCAGCCAAAAATTTCTAAGAGCACTTAAGCTCTAACCAGACTATGGTCATAACATTATTAATTCAAAATTTGTATAGAATATTATTATAAAAACTTATTCATGAGAACGCTAGAACTCTCAGTGGCTATTTAGCCTGACATGGCTTTTACATATATAGAGATGTATGTATGTTTGTGTGTCTATATACATACATATATTCACACATCGGTATATTTTGAAGGTTTTTATTATTTAATTTTTATCTCGCTACCATATATTTGTTCAATTAGAACTTTCTTGCCGCTCTCCAAAAATTTTTATTGTTAGTTTTCTTACGATCAAATTTGCTTCGTGTTGTAACTATAAGATTACTATCCCAAAAAAAAAATTAAGAAAACAAGATAATATCCACATTAGCTTTCCAAACTCTTTTTAGAGATTCCCTAATCCAAAAATTTTGATGACTTTCATCATTTTCTTTCTCCAATTTGTTGGGTTTAGTTGTCATCTTATTGATTTGATAGTGGTGATGGATTGAATCTTAAGGCCGAAAAGGAACGGCTATGATTCAAGGCTCCATGGAAGTCATCGATAAGGTAATTCAAATTGCTCGTGCAGTAAGATGGAGTAGTGTTGTGCACTTAGTGGATGATAGGATTCTTGTAATAGCAAAAACATTTTGTAAGTCACCGTGCAATTTGCTTTTCTTTGTTGTAGAATCTATGTATCTATATATTTGTGCATTCTTGTTCTTTTAGAATATGAGAATAGAAAATTTAGAGTCCATTTGGGGCAGCATATTTGGTGCGGTGGCACTTTTAAAACACACCTGATCTTTTTGGGTAAACTGTATTTTGACAGCTAATGCGTTTTCAAAACGCTAAAAATAATATTTTCACACCGCACCTATCTAAATGCGGTGACAGCTTTCTGACAGCGGCCTGACTTTTTCAAAAAAATAAAAATTTCTAAAGATCACCGCACCTAACTTATCGGTAGATTATTTTTAATCAACTTATCAGCAAATTATTCAATAAGCTGTAACTGCCCCAAACAGACCCTTAGTTGATCACCAACTTTCTTTCTTTACGCTTTTTGTCTTCTTTGATAGTCTTTTCAGCTTACTACTTTTTATGATGAATTTACGTATATGGCACGAAATTCTTATGTATTTACATATATCACCGTAAACTTTCATATTCACACATATAACACTCAAATATGTAATATTACCTAAAGAAATGACACTATCACTATTTTTTAAAAGTGAAATAAAAATTTTGATGCTTAATTTTGAAGCGCACCGTGGTGCCATGCATGTAAATATGAAAGTTTAGATGTGCTCTGTCGAATATATAAACCCTTCCTAAAAGACATTTCAATTGACTTCAATGTTTTTTTTTTTTGTTTTTCTATTGGGTAGAGATAATTTGTATGATTGATATGGAAACCTACTTAAAATATATTCAAATTAGTAATATACTGACTTACATCAATTTTCAGTCATTCAACTAACATATAAACATATCCGACATCATACAGAAATATTGTTATGGGTTTGGTTTGGCCTGTTGATTTCATTTGTTAGAACTGGCTGATTTTTTAGATAAAATTATGAAGAATTAAAGTATTTTATTTTAGTAGATAATTTTTTTTTTTAAATAATGTCAATATGAGTTGTAGGCAAAAAAACCCCATTTTGAGGTGTCTTGTAGGTAAAAACCTCTAGAATTTAATATCATTGTAATCATTTTTGTGGGGTAAATCCATATTTCCAAACAAATATATTTATATATTCAAAATTCAGAAGAGGAAATCATATATATTTTAACTTTAATGCTGTATAAGACGACTCCTCTATCTAATCCAAAATCAAAAATCAAATTTTGACTACAATTGAAATTCAAAATTAAGGGCAAAACAATCATTTTATAATTTAATTACAGAGAGAGCAAATGTTAAATAAAATCAATAAGGAAATAAAAAAGAACAGTAATTTGAACCTGAAATTTTTTTATAACGTTTCATCAACTGTGGATGACAATTTTTTACTGTCATCGAATGCAAGGAGGAAGGGAGGTCAGGCAATGATATGAGGAGTGGAATGCTAAATAAATGTAGATGGTTGAGGGATGAGATGGCCGAGAAAGAAGATGGCAGGCACTGTAGGTTATTAAGGTTATGTAGAGACAGTGTATTCAAGAAGGAAGGAAGGTCTGGCAAGGATTTGAGGAGTGGGATGCTTACTAACTGTAGATAGTTGAGAGATGAGATGGCCGACAAAGAAGATGGCAGGCACTGTAGATTGTCAAGATTACTTATATACAGACCAGACAAAGAGGAAGGGAGGTCTGGCAACGATTTGAGTAGTGGGATGCTTACTAACCGTAGATGGTTGAGAGATGAGATGGCCGACAAAGAAGATGGCAGACACTGCAATGATTCCAGATATTCAAGACAAATTGTATTCAAAGAGGGAGGGAGTTCTGGCAATGATTTGAGTGGAATCCATTTTAATTCTAGACGGTTGAGGGATGAGATGGTTGACAAAGACGTTGGCAGGCGCTGCAATGATTCCAGGTATTGAAGATATAATTCTTCCAGGGAGGCGGGGATGTGTAGAAGCTGCTGGAACTGAGGAACGTTTTGGACACGTAGAATCTTAAGTGAAGAGAGGCGTCCCAAGGAGGAAGGGAGAGACTGCAGGGATTTGAGGCCTTCAAAGCTCAACTCACGAAGGGCAACTCACGAAAAAGCTCAACTCACGAAGGGATGAGCTAACGTGCAGAAACCACTGCTCTGCCTCAACTGTAAAAGAAACCAGCAAGTCATTATTACAAATTTTGAGCTTTTCCAGGGAGGTGATACTTACCGTTGGCAACAAGGATGGTTCATCTATAACAAATTCACTAAGAATTAGCTGGGATTTCTCAGCGCCACTCTCCACTTGTTGCAGTCCACCCAGAGAAATCAGATTGGGGCAACCTTCAATTCTCAATATTCTCAGTGCTTCAAGTCTTACATCCGCCTGAAGAAGAGATGTGATGTTTGGGCACGAAAGGACCTCTAAACTTTCAAGGGGAATGGATTTTGAAATGCCACAACAGTTGTTGGAGCCTTTCTTGCAGTTCAAAGCAGCTTTCCATCCAACTTTGTGTATCTGCATTTTCTTGAGCTTAGGAGGCAAATAGCGCAACTCCTGCAGTTTTGGGCAGTTATGGAGGAAGAGTTCCATTAAGCAAGGAAAGAAACATTCATCTGTTGCTGCTCCTGCTTTATCAAACAAGTCCTCCAATAATTGTAATCCCTTCATATGTAGAACCTCCAGCGCTGGAAACACACAAATATTGTTATTCCCACGGAATTTATTATCAAGCTGCTTTACTTTTGGCATGTCACAAAGGTACAGAGACTTGAGGTGGGGAAGCTGCCCAAAAGGAGAAAGGGTTTCCCACTCTGAGCACCCATTCAGACTGATGTGCTCCAGATTGGAGATCAAATCTGCATCGTACATCCATTTTGCACAGCTTAAACCCTTGCATGAAACTATGGACAATTTCTTTAGATTTTTGTATGGTTTAAGATTTTCAAGCACATTCACATCTAAGTCAGAATTAATAATGTTCTGCGGGTTTTCAATTTCCCTACCACCAACAGCTTTGCCCCAATTCAAGAATAGACTTGTGAGTTTTCTCTTCTCAAATAATTTTGCAGTGTGAGCCTCTCCAGCATCCTTCACATTTTCCAAAAAATGTATTTTTAATTTGCGCAACTCGCTCAGATGTTCCAACTCCCCAATTCTATAACCATTCTCATTCTTAACATTAAACTCATTTAGTTCTTGAAGTGACCTTAATTTCCCAATTCCAGGTACACTAGAAAATACATCCGAGGGCAGATCCACGTGACGCAGATTCGAAAGGTTACTCACATCGATAGGCAAAAAATCATCCAAGCAAGGTTTTTCAACCACATTCATAATGATTATGAACTGCAAATGATAAAGACTGCTTAGAGATCTTGGCATCTGAGTGACACTTCCAGTAAAATTCAAATATCGAAGATGTCTCAAATTTTTAATAGCCTCAGACAACTTTTCAAAATGAGAGCATATGACCAGCAAATGAACCTTTCTCGATGCTTCAAAAATTTCATCAAGTATTTCAGTAAAATCTTGAACACTTCTTTGACTGAACAAAAAAAGTGAGCGTAGCTTTTTAGCTTCTTTGATCATTCTCAACACATCTAGATTTTCAGTTTTAACATATAAGTGTCGAATAGTTTTAGGAATTTTAAAAGTTAAAACATCATCTCCCATGAATCTGAAACATTCATCCGAAGAAACAGACTGTGCCAAATCATGTAATAAATCATGCATCTTATAGTATATTCTCTTGTAATACTGAAACTTGTCAATGTCATCCTGAAACTCGTCAAAGAAAATACTGAAACTTGTCAAAGAAAGATTTTCTGACCAAAACATCAAAATACTTTCCTCCAATATCTACCAAAGTCTCTCCTTCAGTACAAGAATCCCGAAAGAAACCCAAGGCAATCCACATTCTGACTAAATCATCTTTATCAAACCTATGATCTTTTGAGAATATGCCACAAAATGCAAAACAAATTTGTAGAGATTGTGGGAGATATGTAAAACTAAATCTTAGAATGGGCATAATCGGATTAGTATTCAGACCCGGGACTAGTTCCACTCTTCCAATATTACTCACTAAAACTCTTTTATCACTGTTTGAAATTCTTTGCCAATGCTCTGGAGTCAAATCATACTTTAGAACACCACCAATGACCTTTGTCGCCAATGGAGATCCTGAAAGTTTTTTAACTATCTCTTCAGCAATGCTCATTAATTTCTTATGTTCACTACTAAAATTCTCCATGCCAGCAAATGCGTGAGTCTTGAGGAGCTCCAAACACTGAGCTTCCTGCAAGCCCTTTAATGTCAACGTCTCCTTATTCTCTATAATCATATCTGGAATCATTGATGCAGCTGCATGTATTCGAGTTGTGACCAAGATCTTGCTTCCCAATTTTCCATAAGCCAGAGGAGAGATAACTTTCTCCCACTTGGTTGTATTCTCCTCCCAAATGTCATCCAGAACAAGCAAGAATTTCTTGGACCGCGTCACAGAGTTAAGTCTCTCTTGAAGAGGAGGAAGTATTGTCAAATGAGAACTCCATTCATCAAGATATTTCAGCATATCCGTGATGACTTTTTCAACCTCAAAGTTGTGAGAAACACAAACCCAAATTTTAAGATCAAACTCTTTTGTTATGTCATCTGCAAAGATATTTTGTAACAGAGTCGTCTTCCCCATGCCACCATGACCCACTACAGATAGAAGAGAGAGGTTGTGATCTGATGGTTTTCCTTCCTGTTCTCGACCGATGAAAACAGGTCCAGGAAAGGATCCGCTAGCACGATCGTCGCAAACCTGCTGATCCTTCACCTGCTGTTCTTTCTCTTTCTTTTCTACAAGATGAAGGAAGGTATTGACCTGGGCTGAAACTCTATCGAGTTTCTGCACAGCCTCCTCCAGTCTCTCCCAGTTGGGATCAATTTTGAGAGCTCGTTCGCAGACTCTGCGAAGTTTGCGAGCAGGTACCAAAAATAATCTATTGAATGAAGAACGCACCTTTGTTTCCTCCATGTTCAGCTCCAGTTGTTCTTCATGCTTCATGTACTCAAAGTCATCTAGAACATCATCCGCCTCATCGATGGCATCTCGTAGCTGCCATAACCAGCTCTTGAGGTTACGATCTGCAATCTTTCCTTGGGTGTAAGCAGAGACGACAGCTTGGATCATGGGGTGGTTCACTCGCAGCCTTTCGAGCTCCTCCTTCATGCCCGTCTGCCGTCTGAAGTGATCTTGCAGATAATCAGAGCAAGCGTTGATGAGCTTATCCATGACTGGGCCAACAAACCAGTCTGCCATGGCGTCCATCGAGGTAGAAGCAGGAGAGAAGGTAGATGAGAGGGAGAGAAGAGGCATATGTGGCGGGCGATGCGATGGGAAAAAATTTGCGTACATAAGACGTACTCTCCCTGCGTCGTCCATGGCCGCTCCGTCTTTATTCAAATGCGACCCGTCGATCCGACCGCGAGCGGCATAGGGGGTGTAACCGAGCGCGCCATTATTTATAACCTTTCTGTAAACTCAAGATGAATGAATCACGCCTGTAACGTCAACGTAATCAAGATCTAAGGCAGTGTCGTGTAACCTAGCAATATAAATGAGCTATAATTAAGTTGTAATCGAGATTTTCATACCGCGCGTTGTAACTTAGCAACATAACTGAGCTGTAACCGAGAGAGAGAGTAAAGCGTAACTTTGCGGTAACTAAGTTATAACCGAGCTATATAAACGAGCTATAACTAAGCCGTAACAGAGACTTCATACCGCGTGTTGTAACCTAGTAGTATAACTGAGTTGTAACTGACGCAATAACCTCCGCTGTCGTATCGAGGTTGTGTAACTCCTTGGTAACCTCTGCACCCTGGTACCGCGGGTTTGTAACTTGTCTATAATCTGCGAGAACCCTTTGCAGAACCCTTCGCCTTATAGCCGCGTGATAATCTTCTTTAAAAATTCAGAGCGCGTGAATGCTCGTATTTAAGATGCAGAAAGCTAGGGTTTACTGTTTTATTACATTTT